TTTGTTTAAAACAGGGACAGAGAGGAACAAAGAAACAATTTAGACTCTAGTAGTTCATCTAAGGAGATTAGGCTCGCTCCTAGTGGGGGATTTAAGAGACTGAAGGGAGAGATGAGATCATCAAATGCTCCTTTGGAGTAGTTACAAAGAAAATTTATCAAATTATTCTTTTTTTTCCTTTCGTTGTGGGAGTTCATCAGAATAATTCTTTCGGAAAAACCAGGTTGCTGCGGTTGGCAGCAGTTTCCTTTTAAAACAACCATCCTGTCTTGATTCTCTGAGTAGTGCATTGTTGTTGAGGACAGCCCAGTCCAGAAGCCAACCTCAGAGAAAGGTCATGAGATTCCAGGTTGGTCAGTGGGTCAGAGGGACGAGCAGACAGATCATTTGCAGGGCAACTCTTGTAGGCATATCTTATTCTAGTAGTATTTGTTTGGTAATCCCAAATTTTTGCAAGAATAATGAAAATTATGATAACTGGCAAAGGCTGTGTTACTATGGGTTAAGTGTTTGGCTTCTAACCAAAAGAAAAGTGGTTCAAACCCACCAGTTGTTCAGTCAGAGAAAGATGAGGCTGCCTGCTCCTCTTAAAGATTTACAGTATTGGAAAACCTGTAAAGAATCACAATGAGTCAGAATTCATTCAATGTCAGTGGGCATTGTGTATGGGCATTTATATACTTCTTGATAAAACTGTGTCTTGTTAAGCTCCCAACTGGTTGGAATGGGAATGATTTCATGACCTCCACATTCTTGCTTACTGCAATTTTTATAGTTATAGTTTTTCCTTTAGATAAGTCTTGGCAGAGGTAATTCATAAGAGAATAACTCCAAAAAATATTTGGACAAAGAGCCCAGAACAATGAAATAATTGGTTTGGAAATAAGCCATCTGGAACTTCAGAGTGTGAATTAATTATTGCATATTGTATTTTTTCCACCCTTTTGTGGTCCCTTGTTTGTTTGTTTGTTTTCTTTCTTTCTTTCTTCCTCTTCTTTATTCCCACTCTCTCACAGAACACACCATTCCAAGTTCTCTAGATACTTGAGTAAAACACGTGTGTGTTATTTTTTATTTTAATCGTTATCATTTCCTATCTGGCAGGCTCTGGTCCTTAGCTGCAAAAGCAGAAGCAAGTTCAGGTCTCAATAATTGCAAGACAAAAGAATGATTCATTTTAATAACGGGATAATTACTCTTCATGCCTTTCCATTAATATGAGATACCCTGAAGAACTATTCAAATAGCCATTTTTCACATTTAACTATTTACTCCATGACACTCATGTAATTAGCCCTCTTATCAAGCTTGCTTTGACAACATTTTGCATTTGTCTTTATAAGTTTCATCATTAGGATAGTCTGTGCATCTGGGTAAACTAGGGAAACAAACCCACAGAAACTCATATATGTATAAGAGATAGTTTTATATCAAGGATAAGTGTACATTCAGAAAGCAACCCAACTCAATTCTGTCAAAGCCCCTAAGTCCAACATTATTAGCCCATATGTCCGATATACAAAGTCCTCCTCAATTTCACAGAAGACACACAATGATGCCGACTGCAGGAAGAAAGCCAAGTCAGTGAATGTGTAAGCATCTCAGCGCTGGCAGGGGTCTCCACACGGCTTCTCCAGCACCCAGGGCTGCATTGGGGTAGGTCCATGTGTCTTCTCCTCAGGGATGCCTGGTAGGAAGTGAGCCTTGCCAGCTGAAGCAGGGAACTGGCTAAGGCAGCTGCACCCTGGTCTGATGATCAGAGAGCAAGAGACCCGAGAACTAGAAAGGCGAGGCTCACTGAACCATATCTCTCTGCCCTTCAATTAACGCCACATGTGTTTATTGACCAGGTTGGCACAATAAACTGTAACTATCTCAGATATGACACATCCCAGTAGAATGTCCTTTTAATATAGACATCCACTTTGCTTTTCAGCCCTACAATCACAGATTTGACTGGTAGTTGTTCATTTAAAACCCACTCAGGTTTTCAAACCTGGGGAGTTTGGAAAGAACAGCTTAGGAGTCATCCAAAGTCAGCACCACCATGGAGTTTCTCTTTGAAAAAGATGAATGAAAAATGCAAACCAAATGTCACTCTTAATAATTTTAACAGGATAATAATTTTGGTGGACCATTATCTAAAGTTTTCAAATGAATGGACAGCATTTTCTCTTAGAATAGCACTTACATTAAAGGGGGGAGAAAAACACAAAAAACTTCAGATGCTTGTGAAGAGATTTCCTTTTAATCATTTTACTGGGGGGCTCATACAACTCTTATCACAATCCATACGTACATCAATTGTGTACAGCACATTTGTACATTCATTGCCCTCATCATTCTCAAAACATCCACTCTCCACTCAAGCCCCTGGCATCAGCTCCTCAT